TCATTGAAACACTGTGCAACTTCATCTGAAGTCTATGCATCCAGCTGAATGTGTTTTAGCCACAGTTCACACATGAGCCACCATCATGTAAAATGTGAGGTCATCTCCAAAGCAAGCAAGCTCTGCAATATCCTTCCCATCAGCGTGGCTGTGGGACAGTGTTCTCCTGAATAAAGTTTTTTTTTTTGACAGGTGGGTCTCTATTTTTTTTTAGGGCACGCTTTTTCTTTGCTTCCAAACCACTCGCAATATTACTACATACTTATGAAGCCAAGCACAAACACATCTAGAAAATCTGACATTGAAAGGCTAATGACAAGCTGTTCACAACTGATGCTCAATGCAGTTATTCTTGTTAACAGTATTGTCAAAAATATTGTTTTTTTGTTAACTGAATATTTAAAATTGTTACAACAGTCATTTTCCACAGAATTGCTACCAGCTGTACTTCCTCACTCTTTGCTCTCTGTGACAGCACACAGCCCCATCTCCTCTGTCTTCTTGTCACTTGTCTCATTCGCTCCGGTTTGTTACCCTGAGGATGTGCTGGACAGATCTGTGTCGCATCGGGAACAAGACACAGCCGCGAGCGGAATAATTCCGGGGTCATGGTGTTCGCCCATTAACCAGCTTTCGCCGACAAAGAAAACGGCGGGACTGCTGTGTGGAAATATTTCGTATTTGAGGCAAGTTAGCAAGGAAAGTCAAAAGATACAAACAAGCCCACGTAGTGCCCCTAGCTCTGCTATTATGCTGCTCCTGAATCCTTTCAATCTAACAGAATAGGCTGATTTACAACAACACTCATTTAACCTAATATTTAGTATTATTTTCTACTATTTCCAGGTTAACCAGAATGTCACTGTGGTGATTATATTATCACAAATGATGTATTAACGCAGATCTCTGGAAAGGGGTGTGTGGCTCCCGATATCTTTATAAGAGGATGAAAGTCCAAGTCTTTAGAGTCCTGATGCTCCCTGTCTTGCTGTATGGCTGAGAGACATGGATGCTATCCAGTGACCCGAGACGACGACTGGACTCCTTTGGTACTGTGTCTCTTGGGAGAATCCTTGTGTACCACTGGTTTGACTTTGCGTAGAACAAGCGGTTGCTCAAAGAGTCCCAAATGAGGCACATCACCTGCATTGTGAGGGAGTGTCAGTTACGGCACTATAGCCATGTGTTGCGAGTCCCTGTTGGTGTTGCAGGATCCTCATTGCTGAGGACCCAGGTGGCTGGACAGGGCCAAAGGGACACCCATGTAACACCTGACTGTGGCAGATAATTAGCGAAAGCTAATTCTAGGGACTGCATATGTTCGTCCCACGAATCTGAATACATAACAACATCATCCAAATACGCGTCACAGTTTGGGACATCGACGAGCACCTTCTGCATGGGCCACTGAAAAGTGCCCGGGGCATTGCGTAACCCGAAGGGCATGACTGTGTATTGGAGGAAGACATCGGGATAACAAAAGCAGAAATTTCTGACGCGCGAGGAGTGAGAGGAACCTGCCAGTAACCTTTTAATAGATCTAGTTTAGTCACATATTTGCCAGACCCAATCCGATCTACATAGTCTTCCATACGTGGAAGTGGGAAAGCATCTGGCCTGGTTACGGCATTTACCTTACGGTAATCAGTACAGAACCGGGACATTCCGTCAGGCTTGGAGACTAGCAAACATGGGGAACTCCAGGGACTGCAGCTGGCCACAGCGAGACCGGTTGTCATCTAATAGTTTCCTGAGTCAACAAATAACGCTTATGCTGGCTGACACGGTACGGGTGCTGTTTAATGGGGACATGACCGACAACATCTATATCATGTTCTACAACAGAGGTACACGAAGGGGTATCCAAAAACAGGGAATGAAACCTACCTACAAGGGATGTAATGTCAGATTGGGCGGCAGAAGGCAAATGGGTTAACCGGCTAGGAAGAGTCTGAAGACCTTCTGAATAGGGTAAGCGAGCACACGGTAAGCAATTTTTTCCTAGGTGTAGCTCATCATCCTCCGGCGAATAGTTACTGACCGATGAAACCTCTACCGGCATGGGGGAAGGGAGAGAAACGGACGATGGGGCCGAAACTGAACGGTCGAGGTAAGGTTTCAACATGTTAACATGACAAACCTGGGACTTCCTCCTACGATTTGCTGTTTCCACCACAAAGTTGGTAGCACTCAGCTTAGATCGGACAACATAGGGAGCTGAGAACCGAGCGTGAAGGGAGGAACCGGACAACGGGAGTAACACAAGGACACGGTCACCAGGCTCTTTTTCCCAGGCGAATTCTACATGGGTCTGGGTGGGGGACTTATTAAGCTTCCAGAAACTCTGCCGGTAAGCCTCAGGTACACGTTCATAAGCCCTTAAGACCATAGCCTTCACTATGTCATAATCTAGGCTCTGCTCTAATGAGAGGGCCGAACACACTTCTAGTGCCTTACCCACTAGCTTGCATTGCAACAAGAGAGACCAAAGATGCCTAGGCCAGTTCAAAGTCGTGGCAATGCGCTCAAATATGGAAAAGTAGGCGTCCACCTTGTTTCCCGGAAACACTGGAACAAGCCCAATATGTCAACTAACATCGAAACCAGAATTACTCCCATCCTGAGGGACTGGGGAACTCAGGGGAGATCGCGGGCAAGTCCGAGGAGCGTCTGGGGCATCAGACCCGTCTCGGGCAGGCAGGCCGGAGTGTGGAGAAGTACCTGGTTTTAGCACCCTTTTGCTCACCCATGCTCAGCCGTCGCAGTTCCACCTCCTTGTCAGCCTCTATTTCCACAGGCCTGAGATGGAGAAGCTGCGCCTGGTACTCCTGCCTCTTGATCTCAAGCTCGAGTTCCCTTAGTGGAATTGTAAGCAGGATCTCCTCCCTGGATGAGCAGATACCACCGAGATCCATGCGGAGACCCGTCCCAAGATCATTGCTGCCGGCTTCCGCTGCAGCAGACGCATGGATAGGACTCGACGCAACACTCACGGAGCCTCCCACCTCATGCAGGATGCCCTGCCGAATCAGCTCATCTAAAAGGACCTGCTTAATCCCCCGCTTAGAAGCTTCAGCGGGGACAACCACATTAAAGAAGTCTGCTATCGCTAGCAGATCATCCTTACGGCACTTATCGAATTGCTCGAGCGTGGGGAAAAGGGTGAAGCGACGAGGTCGAACTTGGCCGTAATCACTAATACTAACACCTAGGGGTGTTATTAAACTGAATACTGTGTGTTACCCTGGATGCTGGCAGCAAGTGAAACTCCTGGCCTACTGCTATTGTTGACAAAAAATGTTTACTTCGTTAGCTGCAGAAGATGTTCTGCATTAATGAGAGGAATTCTAGTGGAAAGTTTAATGGTTGCTGAGCAAAAATGGTAAAGGGTCTGGCTAATAACACAGCCTTATACTGTATGTAATGCTTGCCTCAGCTTCCTGTAACAGGTTATGTTGTCTAATGCTGTGTAAGAAGGCTAAAGTAAAAGATATTATTGAAAAAAATTAAGACATGTTAATTGCCACATTTGAAATGAAAGCCTACATAGAAAAGGAACATTTTGCTCATTTTCTGTTTTTGAAACTATAGAGGAACTCAGGAACGTCACTAGGATTGAAAAACATGGGGGGCTTTAGCCCCCAGGGTTGTAGGAGGGAATTAGCACATATAGAGGGCTGAAAATTTTTCACCAAACCTAAACAGGCTTCTTTAATTTTATTATGTCGTGTACAGCAATTATGCTGTTATCTGGCTCACGTTCATTTCACTGGCTTCTCTGGAACATTCCCTGCCTTTGGTCTTCTTAGTCTTTAGGATGTCCACCTTTTTTTTATTACAGTATAAATGAGTCCATGAGTATTTTTTAACAGCCTACATGTTGGGGTTCTGTTCATTAAAAACATGCTAGCAAATATATCAAACAATGCGTTTAATAATATTAAATGTGAAACATAATATCTAAAGATATGTAGTTTCACAACTCCTCTTTCTTCTTGCTTGGTGCTGTAAATTAGTTTTAAAATAGCCAACAACGTCACTTTCCTTTCACTTAAGGAAACATAAGTAAAGTTAAGCAATTAACAGTTATTGACACCTACTCACAATCTCTGACAATGAAATTATCTGGTCACTTCTTTCTGTTAAACGTTGCTACTCGCTAACAAGCAGCGACATATACTATAGCTTCGGCCTGGGTCCTAATACCCATACCTATAGCAGCTTAAACAACCAGAAGATAATTTTAATTGAATAATGATAGCTAGACTTACAGTATTATTTTTAATTTCAATTCGTAGTCTTGCTTCTATTTGTTAAGTGCGTACTTGCGCTCAGTGATATCTTGTATGAAATGTATGGATATATAATTTAAAAGTATATTATGATAATTACTATATTTTAGGGAGGCTTGGGATCATTTTTTTTGGGGGGGGGGGGGGGGCTGAAGCCCTCCCTAAATAGGCCTAACGATGCCCATGGAGGATACAGATCGATAAATTCTAATATTTTTAAGCATTAACTGAGTCATCTAAAAGAAATGGGTACTTTGAATATGACATGTGGATGCGAAAATCAGCGGGAAATGGGGGTTTTATTCACTCAGTCTCCTAATATGATTTTTTTAATTTGGTTCATATGTGCATTTGGTGATGTGGAAAAGAGAAACCGGTAAGTTACACAGCGACCTTGAGATTGTGAAAGGGACTATATAAATTAAACGTATTATATATATACATACCGAACATAAGACAAAATAAGAAGAAAAATAATATCTTATAAGTGCAGAGAAACTTTCTGTTTTCCAGTGAGAGTAAAAAGCTTATACGCATTTTTTGTTTTTAGAAGAAAAGGGAGAGGAAAGGGGCGTTTGCGTGTAAGTAGAATTGAACCAATAAGGTTTGAATGTCTTCGGGCGATATTTTGGCTTCCAATGAAAACTATCTTACTATCACTGGCGTATTAGCATATACTCCACATATAAGGAAGGCGAGTAAATAACAGATTATTGTTCTTGTTCCGGAGAAAAAGCGCGAACATGCCTGAGCCAGCGAAGTCTGCGCCCAAGAAGGGCTCGAAGAAGGCAGTGACGAAGACTGCCGGAAAAGGGGGAAAGAAACGCAAGAGATCCAGGAAGGAGAGCTACGCTATTTACGTGTACAAGGTCCTGAAGCAGGTTCATCCGGATACGGGTATTTCTTCCAAGGCCATGGGTATCATGAATTCTTTCGTCAATGATATCTTCGAGCGTATCGCTGGTGAGGCGTCCCGCCTGGCTCACTACAACAAGCGCTCCACCATCACTTCCAGGGAGATCCAGACAGCCGTGCGCCTTCTGCTTCCTGGTGAGCTGGCCAAGCACGCCGTGTCTGAGGGAACCAAGGCGGTCACTAAGTACACCAGCTCCAAGTAAAGCGTTTGCCGCTTTGCAGGAAAAAAAACAAAGGCTCTTTTAAGAGCCAACCACGAAGTCAGAAAGGAGCAAAAGCTGGTTGTTGAGGCTAACGAATCTTTTTCCTATGTGGGAGGGAGTGTAATATAAATTTCAAGTCTCGCGCAGACTTAGGACGTACAATAGGACTTGTAGAAACAAACACTTCGAGAGAAATGTGCGCACATAATGTAGATTTGGTAGCCTTTATTCATTCATGTGAAAAGATGTCTACAATGATAAAGCCTGAATAAAATGCATACTTCGAAATATCTGTTATTCCTCAGATTACATATTTTGTTGCAGATCCATGTTTGAGATGATTAAAGGTTTCCAAACATTTGTAGGAGTACTGAGAAATGCTTTTTATACAGGACAAGCGTTACAAGACATGGGCCAACAATTGGGTAGAATAAATATGACTACATGGAGATATGGATGTATCTAGAAGAATAAATGGTATATATTTTACCTATTTACAAAAACACCAGACAATGGTGTAAAGGCAGAAAATACTAGGGGTTCGGGGTGTAATGGGGTTAGGGCAAGCAGTGAAAAGTGCAGTGGCACTGGCAGGTCAGAAGTGTCACGGCAGTGGGAAGGAGACTTCCTGAAGCGGGACTTTCGTGGACACATTGAAACAGAGGTGCTGATGGGCATTTTTTAGAATGTTTTTATAGCTTATTTTTTCGTTCTTGACCTTTGTGTTTTTCATATTGTTCATCTCTCATGTCGTTGCTGGTTTACATATTCAAGCACCGTGTTTTACACAGCAGCCCATGGCACTGAGGGCAGATGCCTCAGTTTGACTCTAAGACATATGGGGACTGCGGGGAGTGACAGTGAGTGTAG